CCTATTACCATTTTCTTAATTGTTTTGGGTTTGTTGTTGTAGGTCTTTTCCTTCACTTGTTTTTCCTTCCTAGAGAAGTTCCTTTAGCATTTGTTGTAAATCTGGTTTGGTGGTGCTGAATTCTCTTAGCTTTTTCTTGTCTGTAAAGTTTTTAATTTCTCCATTGAATCTGAATGAGATCCTTGCTGGGTAGAGTAATCTTGGTTGCAGGTTTTTCCCTTTCATTACGTTAAATATGTCCTGCCACTCCGTTCTGGCTTGCAGAGTTTCTGCTGAAAGATCAGCTGTTAATCTTATGGAGATTCCCTTGTATGTTATTTTTGGCTTTTCCCTTGCTGCTTTTAATATTTTTTCCTTTGTATTTAATTTTTGATAGATTAGTATGTGTCTTGGTGTGTTTCTACTTGGACTTATCCTGTATGGGACTTTCTGTGCTTCCTGGACTTGATTGACTATTTCCTTTCCCATATTAGGGAAGTTTTCAACTATAATCTCTTCAAATATTTTCTCAGTCCCTTTCTTTTTCTCTTCTTCTTCTGGGACCTCTATAATTCGAATGTTGGTGCATTTAATGTCCCAGAGGTCTCTGAGACTATCCTCAATTCTTTTCACTCTTTTTTCTTTATTCTGCTCTGTGGTAGTTATTTCCACTATTTTATCCTCCAGGTCACTTATCCGTTCTTCTGCCTCAGTTATTCTGCTACTGATTCCTTCTAGAGAATTTTAAATTTTATTTATTGTGTTGTTCATCATTGTTTGCTCTTTAGTTCTTGTAGGTCCTTGTTAAACGTTTCTTGTATTTTCTCCTTTCTGTTTCCAAGATTTTGGATCATCTTTACTGTCATTACTCTGAATTCTTTTTCAGGTAGACTGCCTATTTCCTCTTCATTTGTTTGGTCTGGTGGATTTTTATCTTGCTCCTTCATCTGCCGCATATTTCTCTGTCTTCTCATTTTGCTTAACTTACTGTGTTTGGGGTCTCCTTTTCACAGGCTGCAGGTTTGTAGTTCCCATTGTTTTTGGTGTTTGCCCCCAGTGGGTTATGTTGGTTCAGTGGGCTGTGTAGGCTTCCTGGGGGCGGGGACTGGTGCCTGTGTTCTGGTGGATGAGGCTGGATCTTGTCTTTCTGGTGGGCAGGACCGTGTCCAGTGGTGTGTTTTGGGGTGTCTATGAACTTATGATTTTAGGCAGGGTTTCTGCTAATGGGTGGGGTTGTGTTCCTGTCTTGCTAGTTGTTTGGCATGGGGTGTCCAGCACTGGAGCTTGCTGGATGTTGAGTGCAGCTGGGTCTTAGCATCGAGACGGAGATCTCTGGGAGAGCGCTCGCTGATTGATATTACGTGGGGCCGGGAGGTCTCCTGTGGTCCTGTGTCCTGAACTTGGCTCTCCCACCTCAGAGGCTCAGGCCTGACACCTGGCTGGAGCACCAAGACCCTGTCAGCCACATGGCTCAGAAGAGAAAGGAGAAAAAAAAAGGAAGAAAAATAAATAAAATAAAATTATTAAAATAAAAAATTATTATTAAAATAAAAAAATTAAAAAGTAATTTAAAAAAAGCACAGCAACCAAACCAATAAAGAAATCCACCAAGGATAACAAGCAATAAAAACTATACTAAGATAAACATAAAAATCAGTAACTAGTCTGTCACATACAGCAAACCCCAAGTCTACAGTTGCTCCCAAAGTCCACCTCCTCATTTGGGGATGATTCATTGTCTATTCAGGTATTCCACAGATGCAGGGTACATCAAGTTGATTGTGGAGATTTAATCTGCTGCTCCTGAGGCTGCTGGGAGAGATTCCCCTTTCTCTTCTTTGCTCGCACAGCTCCTGGGGTTCAGCTTTGGATTTGGCCCCGCCTCTGCGTGTAGGTCGCCTGAGGGCGTCTGTTCTTTGCCCAGACAGGAGGGGGTTAAAGGAGCAGCTGATTAGGGGGCTCTGGCTCACTCAGGCTGGGGGGAGGGAGGGGTACGGAATGCAGGGTGAGCCTGCGGTGGCACAGGCCAGAGTGACGTTGCAACAGCCCGAGGCGCGGTGTGTGTTCTCCCAGGGAAGTTGTCCCTGGATCACAGGACCCTGGCAGTGGCGGGCTGCACAGGCTTCCGGGAGGAGAGGTGTGGAGCGTGACCTGTGCTCACACACAGGCTTCTTGGTAGCGGCAGCAGCAGCCTTAGCGTCTCATGCCCTTCTCTGGGGTCCGCGCTGTTAGCCACGACTTGCTCCTGTCTCTAGAGCTCGTTTAGGTGGAGCTCTGAATCCCCTCTCCTCGCGCGCCCCGAAACAATGGTCTCTGGATTCTTAGGCAGTTCCAGACTTTATCCCAGACTCCCTCCCGGCTAGCTGTGGCACACTAGCCCCCTTCAGGCTGTGTTCACACAGCCAACCCCAGTCCTCTCCCTGGGATCTGACCTCTGAAGCCGAAGCCTCAGCTCCCAGCTCCCACCCGCCCCAGCGGGTGAGCACACAAGCCTCTCAGGCTGGCGAGTGCCGGTCAGCACCAATCCTGCGGGAATGTCTCTGCTTTGCCCTCTGCACCCCTGTTGCTGCGCTCTCTGTGACTCCGAAGCTTCCCCTCCGCCCACTCCCCGTTTCCACCAGTAAAGGGGCTTCCTAGTGTGTGGAAGCTTTTCCTCCTTCACAGCTCCCTCCCAGAGGTGCAGGTCCCCTCCTGCGCCTGTTCTTTTGCCTCTGTTTTTTCTTTTATTTTTTGTCCTACCCAGGTACGTGGGGAGTTTCTTGCCTTTTGGCAAGTCTGAGGTCTTCTGCCAGCATTCAGTAGGTGTTTTGTAGGAGTTGTTCCACATATATATATGTATTTTTGATGTATTTGTGGCAAGGAAGGTGATCTCCATGTCTTACTCCCCCACCATCTTGGTTCATTCTTTTTTATTGTTCAGTAGTATTTTATTGTGATCATGGATCACTATTTATATATTCATTCTGGGTTGTTTCCGTTTGGAAATATTATGAATAAAGCTGCTATGTACCTATCTTCTGGCGGACATACATACTTCTTTCCGTAGGAAACATACGCAGGGTGAAGTTGTGGGTTATAATCTTTACACATGATTTGTTTCAGTAGATGTTGCCAAATAGTTCTCCAAAGTGAAGTGCCAGTTTACACTCACCAGCTCTTATTCTGGGAAGGTTCTAGTTGCTCCTGGTCCTTGTCAATTTTTAACATTGTCGTCTTGTAGATGTTAGCGATTCTGCCATGTGCACCTATCCTTGGGAGCAGACAGCATTCTCTCCCTTGTGCAAATGTAGACATTGAAGCTGTGGAGGTTAACTCACTCAGGCCAGGGTCACAGAGCGAGGGCACGGTGGAGGCCACGTGTGTCCAGCATTAGCATTTCATTCCAGGGCACTACCTTGCCTAAGGACCTTCAGGGGATGTCTGTTTCTTCGTATATCAAATCCAAATTCTTCCAAAAGTCCAAGTCCTCTATATCTGACCTCATCTCCCAGCTTCCTCTGTATTTACCCTGTGCTAATCACTGTGAAAATAGGCCTGAAGCACTAAAATGTCTCACTTAATGCTCATGACAGTCTTATGAAACAGGTCATATTATGATCCTTGTTTTGCAGAGTTGGGACTGGAGGTGTAGGGGGATTAAGAAAGTGGTGCAAAACCACACTGTTAGTAAGCAGCGGAGGCAGCATTCAAGCCAGGCCTACTAGCTCCAGAAGAAGCTCTCTGAACTCTGACTCTGGTCCTCCCTCTAAATCTAACATCGTGCTGTATGAACCTGGTGGAGAAGCCAGGTGCAGGTGGCTTCAGAGGAGGTTTCCTCTGCCTGCCTGCTCAGCTCATACCAAACCCTCACAGGATCTCGGAGATGAGATTTTACACCTCTCTCTAGTTGTCCCATACGTATTGCCTTTCTTTCTTCAATTAGGTTTGAGTTTTCTAGAATGAGGCTTGGTTCCAGACATTTGGTACCTATTTGGTAAACAGGACATGCGAACTCATGCACATAGGGCCAGGACTCGAGGCAGGCTGGTTGGGAAATGGGGAAGCCGCGGTGGGAGGGGCTGGGGATGAGGAGCTGGCAAGAGGAAGACCCGACGTCCACCTGTAACGTCCACAGCAGTAGAGGCTGAGGGTCATTCAGTCTAGTTGTTGGCGTGGCTACGTAGGGACTGACCCTGATATTAAGGTTGCTCAATTTTCAAGTTCCAGGCTGTCCATCCAGGACAGAGAAGGACCTCAGGCAGCAGCTGGACACACAGAGGCTAGAGTTAGTGTCCAGAAAGAGTGACTGGCCACAGCTGGTTAAGGGAGCTGGGCTCCAGCAGGGCGCCGGTGTGCAGCCACGATGGAGGCTCAGCCATGTGGCCAAGACCAGGTTATGGTTTGAGGCAGATGGGTGCCTGGGTCCCCTCAGGGTACTGGGTATCACTTCAGTGCAACATGATCTATTCCAGAGCCCTGGCTGGTGGGGAAGGGGCTCCTCAAGCCCTGCAGCCTTGGACAGGGTTTGTCCAGGCTCTGTAACTGGGAGCATTAGCACTGAGCTGGGGAAGGCTGGCGTCAACCCTAATTGGCAAGTTCCTTGAGCACAGAGGCCATGTCACACCTCATAGAGGCAGTATGGGGAAGGCAGTCAGACGTTATAACCAGGTTGCCTGGGTTCAACTCCTGGCTCTGCCCCTTATCTGCTGGTTGAACGTTAACATACTGCTTAACCTCTCTGTGTCTTTGTCTTCCCATCTGTAAAATAGGGGTAAATATAAAACGTGCCTCAGAGGGTTGTTGTGAGGCGAGAAGAGGAATTTGTGTGAAGCCCTTAGAGCAAGCCTGCGCATATTAAACTCTTCCTCAATTGATGACCAGTGTCCTGTTCTAATCCACAGTTTTAGGTGTCTTGCAGTAAGGTGTCTTGTTGAGAGTCTCAGAAAGGAGGTCATCTCCCTAGATTTCAAATCTTCTGGTTCCTGTGCAGCCCCAAGTCATGCTCCCATGCACCGCCTCTCATGAAGTGTGTCCCTGATCAGCCCTCGACAGGTTCTGGAGACAGCGCCTGGGAACAGACATTCCCAGCCAGCGTGCTGCAGTTCCTTGGCCTCGTGCACAGCACCTACCCCCAGGATCCGGCCTGGCGGGCCCCAGAGTTCCTCCAGACCTTGGCTGCAGTCACCTTCCCCCTGGGAACCCATCAGGTAGGACATGCCTCTGCCCTACCCCGGTGAGAGCAGGGGCGAGTGTCATCACCCTTCAAGGGCAAAGGACAGAATTCCTCCCCACCCCTCCCCAAATTAAAATACATTTAAGGCAACTTTGCTGAAACCTTGAGTAAACAACTCGGGTAATTTTCCTTCTCTTTATGAGATGATGCTTCAGGTCATTTTTGGCTCTGAGAGTCAATAAGTTTTTGATTCGTCAGAAATCTCAGTAATGAGAAATTTGATGGTAGGTCAAGTCCAATTTTATATGGAATACCCACACATTGATGATCATATGAAACAGCAGATTCCACCCCAGGAAACCTGCGGCCGGTGCCCCAGCCAGGGGAGGGGTGGAACCGTCACAGTGTCCCATCTTCTTTGCAGCACACTCGTTCTGTTTGCAGGCCACGGCATCTTTCAATCAGAGGGTTTGCCAAGGCCCAGCTGGAAGCGCAGGGGGACCAACTGGGTCTTGAGGACAAAGTGTGGGTGCGGGGGTAGAGAGGGCGCTACAGGAAGAGATGTGAGTGAGCTTGAGAGCAAGAGCCAGTCCCAGCCGATCAGGGGACTCAGTGGGCTAAGAGCATCTGAGAGGAGCGGGCGAGGACAGGCGTGAAGGCAGGTGCAGGAGGAGGAAGAGCAGGAATCTGAATAGGAGGTGAGACCCAGCCAGGGAGAGTGAATTAGCGACGCCTGTCTACAAATCAGTAACTGTAGCCAAAGGAACACGCTAGGCATGTTGGTAAGTAGAGGGTCTGGAAGCCATGCGAAGCACAGCGAGGTCAGGTAATATTTGCTCTGTAATTATTTGCTGAATGACCAAGTGAATGAACCTGCTCTTCTAGCTGTTCTTCTCTAGAAGTGTATTCATGGTGCCAGCCTCCATCTCCTGAGCACCTACAACAGTCCTGAGCCTGGGGCTTCACATCCCCTAACATGCCCCGACGCAGGAGGTGTTAAAGGGGGAGGGGAGATTCAGGGAGGTGAAGCGGCACAGACTGGGTTCCTCCCGGTTTAGTGGGACGATGAGACCCATCTCACAAAAGGGTTGAGGAGATGAAACATGACACAGCTTATGTGATTAATAAGTGACAGAACCAAGATTTACACCTCAGTCTCTCACCCCAAAGCCCATGTCCTTTCCATCAGTCAGTTTAAAATAACATTAAATGACCTAATAGAATTTGAGTATTTAGTTTTAATAAAAAGGCAAAATGTAAAGAGTAGAAGATTTGCAAAAAGATAAAATAGTTTGATGGGTTAATATCAACTAAAGCAACATACTAGAAAAGTAAGTCAAAAAAGATGCAATAAGGAGCAAAGGAAGGCACTGTGAGCAGCACTGAAGGGGGTGGGGAATGGGACCCCCGCCCAGAAGCCAGGCAGGCAGCCCTACAGACGGCCTCTCACCACTCCCCCCACCTGGAGTGGGCTGGGCCCTGGAGTCAACGGCCTGAACTTCCCAGCCCAGATCCCCACCTCAGCCCCTCGCCCACAGGCCAGGCTCGCCATCTGCTAAGTCAGGGTTCCAGCCGGCTGCCCACCAGCAGCCACAAAGCACACTCTGACCCAGGGCTCTGCCTCCCCACGCTCAATAGTTCCTGCCTGAGGGAGGGCCTGGCCCAAAGTCACCTCCCAGCCTACTGTGGATGAGACAGGCCCCAGTTCCAGAGCTCTTATCCCCATAGCTCCTTGCCTTGTTTCAGCTCCAAGTCGGCTCCAAAAGGCCTTTGTTGCACAGAACACATGACAGACTTTCTGCATGCAGAACGCTGGTGGCCAGAAGGGTTTTGATTTGCTATGATTTTATATGGCATCTTTCCAGTCAAGGCCGCGTGGCGCTAATTAATGCAGTCATCACCTCCCTAGGTGCTGTTAAGTTCATTTTATGGCTTAATTAAGAATTGCTGCGTTAATTTTATGAATGAGCCAAGGGAGAAACCAACAGATAAACTTGCATGAAAAGTTCATGGGCCAGGAGTCAGGCATCCCTGGCCGCATGTCCTTGGGTGTGTCATTTGGCCTCCCAGCATCTCCATGTCTTCCAGGATGTATCTGGGCTAATGACCCCCATCTCATTTATCTCCCAATATTTTTATAAATGTAAAACTGAGAAAGTGAAGGCCAAGGCACTTCAGGGACTTGGACGCCAGGACTGGCTGAAGTCCTACTTCTCTTTCCACCTGAGGGTCCTATCTGTCAACATCAGCAGAGCCTGACAGGCAGTAAAGGTGAGGGCCCCACAGGAAGGTGGGAACCAGCTATCTTGACCGTACAGGGCCAGGCATTGCTACATGCACTGTTTCTCACTGCATCCTCACACATCTTTGTGTGTTCCTTTCCAGCATTACTATTTGACCGATGGGGCGCTGTGGCACTGAGGAGGGAAGTGCCTTGCACGGGATACATCCTGGGCTTCCTCGCCGGGCACTGCAGGTCTCTCTTGCTCTGTGCCCAGCTTCTGTCCACCACTCCCACCCATCTGGAGTTCGGAGGCCACAGCAGGCCACCTTTGAGCCCTGGGACTCTGGGCGAGCTGCCTACCTCCTCGGGGCCTCAATTTCCTTACATGTTGATGGGTTTGATGAGAATCCCCCCGTGCACACCTCAGAGGTGGATGTGAGGGTGCCTTGAGGCAGGGTAGGCCGCTCATGCTGGGGTTCTCTTGTCTTTGAGGGGGCCGTGACAGAGGCTACCCAGGACACCAGCAGTCCTGAGGCCGAGCCTGAAGGCACCAGCACTGAGGAGGGGCTGCAGGCTCCTGCGGAGTCACATCCCACCCGGAAGCAGCTGAGGGAATTCATGCAGCTACTCTTGAGGGAGCTCTTGCTCGGGGCTCCCAACCCCAAGCAGTGGCTGCCGCTGGAGGTGCTCCTGGAGGTGGGTGTCATTGGGCTCCGTGCTGTGGGAGGGCATGGGCACCAGGAGGGCATGGGCACCATGAGGGCAGGGTGTGCCCAGGGAGACCTGAGGGCTGATCTCTTGAGAGAGCTCATCCAGGCCTGTCCATGCCAGTTGGCTGGTGGTCAGGAACCTCTCCTGGCACTGCAGTGATTGGTGGGAGGACATCCTCCGGAAACCACAGGCCCCGGCAGAGCAGGGAGCTCACCAAGCAGCAAGTCAATAGATGAATGAGGGCAGGTCTTAGCCAGGTTTCTAGAAGCAGAGCCTGAGACAGGGATTTTGTGGAAGTACTTTTTGGGGGGTGGTGCTCTCAGGAAAGCAGAGAAGGGATGCAGAGGAGAACAGGGGAGAACCTAGCCAGGAAGTGGTCTCAGAAGTAGCCTGGATCAGAGCAGTAGTGTGCTATCTGCATCCCAGAGTTGGCCCCGCCTTAAGGCACCTGACAGGTGGTCACTGGCTGTGGGACCCCCACCCCTTGCCTCCTTGCCCTAGGAAGTAGGCATTGTTTCCCGGTTGAGGCAGTTTGGTCAGCAGAGGACAGTGCCCCAGAGAAGGGGCAGTTGTGAGCTGTTGGCAGCCCAAACTCCCAGCACTGGCAGTATTAGCATATGGGCCAGGCAGAGGGACCTGGTGGGCACTGAGTGAACATCGTGGCCATGTGGCTGCTGTCTTAATCCAGGGTTTACTTCCAGGCTTCTCCAGACAATGCCACCGGCCAACAGAAGCGAGACTTTCAATCTGAGGTCTTGCTTTCCACCATGGAAATATTTCACATGATGAGTGGAGGTCAGGCACCAATGCTTAGAGGTGAGTGGGGGTGGATGACTTGCTCCTCCTGTTCATGACATAAAGCGGCTGACAGCTGAGCAGGACAGCCACAATCCTGCCAGCCACCGACCCCAGGACTCTAGAGGAAGTCTAGGCTGCAGGACTGTAGGGCGCTTTAGGAACCACAGGAAGGTGCCCTCCACCTGTTCTTGTTGTTCACAACAAGAGCTCAGTGACCTTGCTCGGAGACCCCAGGGATGGCATACTTACTACTTTCCGTGTCACCCCTGCCATTGTTGGGTCAGTCAGAGATGGAAAGTCCTGTTCTCTGAGCCAAAATCAATTCACCTCTAGCTTCAGTAGAATTTTCTTCTTCCTATGAGGGGAGTCAAGATGTCAACCTGAATTTAACATTCTTCTGCTCACCTATGCCTGGGCACAGCAAATGTTTCTTAAATGAATGAACCCGGGTGAAGACGCTGCCATTGCCCCTAAGAGGTTCAAACTGAAACTTCATTCAGAACATTTGGTTCCGAGGCAGCTGTACCTTCCCGACAAGATTAAACAAAAGTTCTTTCTGTGGTTCTTGAGTCATGGAATCCTTAGTGATACAGCTCATCTCCTGGACTCCTCTTGCCCCACAGTGCAGAAGCCCTGGCTTTTGGTTTTCTGGGGTATCTGAAGTGTGGTAGGGTAGTGGAGTGATGAAAAGCGTGAGCTGGTAGCCCATTTCTGAGCATGGCTCTGTCACTGGACAGTGGTATTACTCCGGGCAGGTGCCTGACCCTGTGAGTGAGGAGGATAATCGTGGCTAACTTAGAGGGTTGCTTTAAAGGTTAACTGAGATCGTTGCATCCATGTCTGAGCACAGTGCCTGCTGTGTTGGTGAGCACAGGTAGATGACCTGACCTTACAGCTTCATCCTCTGCCCAAATAACAGCAGGGCCTTGGGTCACCATGACAGCCTTCCCATTACCGTATGCCTTAAATTCTCACCCACTCTTCTTCCAAATGGCCACTGGAAGAAACGCTGCTCTGTACTTGCCTTCTCCGCATTTGGTTTATATCACTGATTGTTCAGGCTTGATTTACTTTGAATAAATGTGTGTTCATTGGGCACCTATTGTATATAAGACCCCATTTTTGGAGCAACAGGGTACGCACAGGGTTACAGTGGGCTGTACAGAGGTGAGTAAGATGTGGTTGGTTACCAGGAGGGGCTTGGAGATTGTTGTGGAGAGAAGGCAGTTACACTGATGATTTCTCAGCCTTGGTCTGCCACCCTCCCCCAACCCGCAGGCAGTAGAGAGCCTCAGCCAAATGCAGAAGCTGCTGCTGCTCCTTCACTTGCCAGCATCTCCTACTTCATCCAGAAGCTGGTGGAGAAGCTGTACAGTGGAATGTTCTCAGCAGACCCCAGGCACATCCTTCTCTTCATCACGGAGCACATAATGTTGGTAAGAACCTCAGGTTGGCCGTGGTGGTAAGGCTTCTGCTGACCCACCTGGTATCTGTATGACACTGCTGGCTGCTGTGCACTTGGTTCATATTGACCTGCTGTCCTTCCTGGAAATAGAATCTGAGATGGGTGGGAGGAAGGAGGAGGACCATTACCGCCCAGGTTAATACCTGGTAGATGTTGAGCACCCTGCAGTGTTCTCTCCTTGGGCCACCTGAGACCCATCTCGGTGATTAGGGGCCGCAGCCTCCTGCACAGGCACCTCCTAAACTCTGCACACCCCCCTTTGGGTTTTTACTGTGAATGTTGGTTTAATCTTAATTATTGTTATTCCTCATCAACAAAGGGTGAAAAAGGTCTTTATCTCCAAAAGTTCTATTTCATTTTCTTCTATAAAATCCACCTCCATTTGTCATATTTGGGCCTTCCTGAATTTGAAGAAAGAGTCTATTTTTACCTGGTCCTGTTTTTCTTGCATGTGCTTTCCCCCCCTCTCTCTCTCTTTCTCCATCTACATACATACCTATGCATGCCAGTGCATGCCTGTAGATACACCTCGATGTAAGTATATGTGTGCACGTGTGTACACATTCTTCATTGTATATGTGTACACACGCATACGCAAAGACTCAAACAATCTCAAAATTCTAGAGTTGAACCCTTTTTTTGGTCCTTCTCATTTCATTCTGGAAACCTTTCCTGACAAGTGGCCATCCACTGTTTCCTTGAACCATCCTTGTGTGAGGAGCTCTCTATGGTACAAGGGGGTTCCAGTCACCAGGACACCTGTGATTGTTGGGAAGCACTTTCTCCTACCAAGCGGAAATCTGCCTCCAGCAGCTCCTGCCTGCCGCTCTCGGTGCATTCTCTGTGGCAGAATCCAGGAGAGCCCCTCTCCTTCCTCTTCATGCCTCGTAGAGACAATGACATCAGTGCCCCCAGCACCCTTCTGTCTGTGGAGTCCCCTGCAGACCCCAGGACTGGGCCTTGGCACAGTTCCTAGAGTGATAGTCAGTCTGCTGATGCACAGTTCTAGGCAACCTGAAAAGAATGTATTCGGAGGTTTCTTCAAGAATAACTCCTAGGGTTTCCCTGGTGGTGCAGTAGTTGAGAGTCCGCCTGCCGATGCAGGGGACACAGGTTCGTGCCCCGGTCCAGGAAGATCCCACATGCCGCGGAGCGGCTGGGCCCGTGAACCATGGCTGGGCCCGTGAGCCATGGCCACTGGGCCTGCACATCCGGAGCCTGTGCTCTGCAACGGGAGAGGCCACAACAGTGAGAGGCCCGTGTATCGCAAAACAAACAAACAAACAAAAAAACTCCTAGAAGGGAGAAATATCCCTTGTCAGCTCTGAGGGGAGTAAAATCGGATTGTTGGGAGGTCATGTTGAAAATGAGAGTAGCCACTGAGCTCCTGTCTTAGCGAGTTTGGGCTGCTATTACAGAGTACCATAGACTGGGTGACTTAGCAGCAAACATTTACTTCTCGGGTTTCTAGAGGCTAGGAAGTCCAAGATCAAGGTGCCAGCAGATCTATTGTCCAGTGAGGCTCTCTTTCTGGTTTTAGAGAGGGTCATCTTTTCGTTGTACCCTCAACATGATGGAGAGAGTGAGGAAGCAAGCTCTCACTTATCTCTTCTTATAAGGGCACTAATCCCACCATGAGGGCTCCATCCCCGTGACCTAATTACCTCCAGGAGACCCCATCTCCAAATATATCACACTGGGGGGCTAGGGTTTCAACATATGAATTTTGGGGTGATGACACTAACATTCAATCTATAGCAGCTCCCCAATGGTCTAAGCAAATACTCAGAGCTAATATCAAAGAGCTGGTGCCTCCTGCGGCTGATGTGTCTTCAGCAGGGTGCCAGACTGAAGAACTCTCACTGCCCACATCTACCATTCTTCTCTCCTGCTCACTGCCTGTGACTCACACACCTCTTAACCTCAGTTTGAAAGATGTGACCCATCTGTAGAGTAGGAGAGGATGAGGATAAAAACATGCACCCTAAATTCCAGCAGATTTAAATAAAACTTAATTAGTATAAACACTTGCATTACCTATGAGATTTGAAGAGAGCAATCTATAACTAACAAATGAACTTTCTAATAGACTGAAACATTTTGCACATAATTTTTGTTCTATGGATTCTTTTCAGTGAAGCCAAACAGATGGATGGCTTCAGTGTTAAGGCCACAAATCAGGACCTTCTGCCTTCCCCCTCTAAACCTCTCATGAACTAAAATCCATTGGATGCACATCTCCTTTAGAAGACATAGTGGTTAAGAGCATGGCTCAGGTGTCTGGTGTGGGTTTGACTCTTGTTGACCACCTACCTCTCCTACCTCTCAGACTCTCAGCCTTCTTATCCCTAAGGTGGGATAATCTTAGTGTCTACTTCACGATGTTGTTATGATGTTTAAATGAGGCAATATATGTAAACATACGCACACAAATGCAAAAATGCTTAACATGATAACTGGAATATTGTAACAATCTATACCTGATAACTAGTATTAATAACATTTTTTAAAACTAGACCCTATTAATAGCATGTTTTTATATACTGAATGTCAACCATGTTTACCAGTATTTCAGAAATCTGTGGTCCCATGTCTACTTTACATAATATGACTGTGGTAAACTTTTAATTTTTTAACACCAATTTTTGGTAAATTTAAACATTTGAATTCCCTTTATTGATCATCCACTTAAATAGAAGCTCCAAGGTTGAGGAAGGTAGTCCTTTTTGATTTTAGAAATGCAGAAAAGAATCTGGGATTGTATCATTTTCACAGTTAACTGGGTTGGTATCTCAATTTCAAAGTGTTCACAAGTATGTGTCTGTGTGTGTTTATTTTATGACACAGGTCATCGAGAATGCCTCTTCTCAGAGAGACGCTGTCATCGGTGCTCTATACAGCAGTTTAAATAAAGTCATTCTTTATTGCCTCTCCAAGCCCCAGCAGTCCCTCTCCGAATGCCTCAGCCTTCTCAACATCCTGGGATTTCTTCAGGAACACTGGGACATTATCTTTGCCACCTATAATTCTAACGCCAGCTTCCTCATGTGTCTCATGCATTGTCTTCTGCTGCTCAATGCAAGAAGGTTAGAGCTGCCCACTGTCTCCTTGCTTGCCAGTGGTCAATGCAGGAAAGAAAGCTTTAGAGGACACTTGATTGAAGTCGATCAGTTATAGATGATACAATCCTTTTGTTTATCTGGTTGTCCAAATTATGTGCAATATTTGATAATACGGTAAGTAGTCCTCAAACCTGTCCATGTGACTGAGCAGCTAGGAGCATCATGAGATAATAATTTACCGTATTTCCATAATTCTCAGGCTGTAAGATACTTCATTGATTTAATTTGGGTGGGGAGGGGCAGGCAGAAAACTCCAACATTAAATACATACATTGATTTTATGATGCAGCCAGGTTTCAGAAATACTCACTTTTGATAAATGAAATCTTAGAATGGGGAAATATATAATAAATTAAATCATGCAAGCCAGGAATAATTTTGCTTGCAGGAAAAAAAAAAACAAACCAAAAAACCACACATACACAGACGTAGACAATTTGTGATATAAAATGACATCCATAAGCATCCTTGTATAAGAAATACTAGTACAAATACATTAAATTATTAAGCTATTTAAATCCCTTTCCTGAAGTTCAGAGTTTGAACTTAGATTTTTCTGTGTATGTGCACTTTCTCTCCCTCTGTGCGGTAGTAGGTATATATCATACCTCATGTGTGCCTTGGCATTATACTGCCTAAGAATATTATCTCTTATTAATAGAACCATGTTGAGGAAGAGAGGACTGTGAGATATTACACTTTACTCTTGTCCTTTTCTCAGTTGTGTTTATCCCAGTACAAATTTGATTATTTGAAAAAAAAAACCCAAATCCTGTCGAGTTGACTATTGAATGTTACAAACCACGAGTTGACTTGTCTAAAAACACTTTGGGAAGCACTGGAAAACACTCCTAGCCCAGAGGAGGTATTTGCCTTTTTATTTGTTTGAAATAAAATAATCCATTTTCAGTGTATGGATTAAATTGGAGAAGTGCTTCTCTCTTTTCTGTATCTCAAGAGTTAGGCCCTATCCGTACTGGAAGCATGGGTAAGAGGAGCAGAATGCCAGCTGACTTGTGTGCTTGAAGTTCTGCCCTCCTCAAATCCCTCTGGATAGCAAAGCGGCCTCCAAAGTCCAAAGGGACTTTATTCTAGAAATTTCAAGAATGGACATCCTTATATGCTGGTTATTTTTTCATTTCCTTGTTTGTCATTTTTGGTTCAATCCACAAACTTGTACTGAGTTTCTGTTCTGCTTGGTTGGGTGAGGGTCCCAGAGAAGAGGGTACTTGGACATGAACATGGCCAGGAGTTCTGGAGCACATGGTCTATGGGGAACTTAATATGTAAACCACTTCGCCTCACTTCAGACCAGCTGTATGATGTGCAGGGTTCCAGCAGAGTATAAATGCGGGGCTCTTATTCAAAAATTACTAAGAATTTCAAGATGGTGACAGCAGAGCCCAAACATGGGACCCTTCTGAGTTCGGACCATACACAGCTGCACAGGTCACAGGCCCATGAAGCTGGCCCCGGCCCCATTCCATGAGGGATGAGGTTAGCGCCAAGCAAAGGCAGAGTTTAATGCAAAAAGAAATGACCAGTTCTCATGATGTATAAACCAGGACAGGTTGAGGAGGTCTGTTTGGGAGCATAGATTGGATTTAATAAGACAGGGACAAAGAGAAGGTATTTTTCTTTTTTTCTAGAATGCTTTTGTATAATACCTGTCATGGAAGTTGTCATAGGTGTTTGCTTTAACTTGATTAGACAAGTTTTTTTCATATTGATGTGTACTGAGTTTGCAAGATTATTATTTGTAATAAAGAACAATGGAATGATCCCAAAGAAACTGGAGTTCATAGTGAACAATCTCTTGTCTACTAGTTACCCAGAAGGATTTGGATTGGAACCCAAGCACAGAATGACTCCTTATCATCAAGTCTTTCTTTCTCCAAATGAAGAAGTGAGAGAAAAAAGAGAAGACTTCCCAAGCTTGAGCAATGGTACATTTTATTTGTCGTTTATTTTGGGGGGAGTAGAAGATAGCGATAACTGCTAGGGTTGAATTCTTCAGTTTTTTCTTCCTAAGATATGGAAGCAAATATTACTAAGATTCTTAAAAGACAGAAGACGTCCTAGGAAATCCTAGAACAATGTAGTAATACAGCAAGGTAACCTGATAGGGAATAAAATTGGAATGATCTTTGTATACAAGAAATAGAATGGATGGGTGTATGGATGGACGGATGGATAGATGAGGAGGGAGCTCTGTGAGACTTGGTGAGGCTAAGAACTTGTGTACTGAAATACCAGAGAACCTCACTATAAGTTGATTTCACTTCTCAGCTGGTCTCTTGACTTCTCCTTTGGACCGCTAGATGTGGAAACTGGTGGCCATATCACTCAGTTCAAGCCAGTACCTATCTGTGTCTCAGCTTTCTTCTCTAGAAAATGGGAATGGCGTAAAGAAGCTCGTTACTTTATGAGATTTCTGGCTTAATGGAGTTTATTCTTGGATTCGATAATGTCAAAGCAAGTTAAAAGGATGGCGCTTTGTGGAAAAAAAGAAAAGGCGACCAGATCCATGTGTCTGAGAGATTTCTCCCTCCTGATGCAGGAAGCCTCAGCAGACCTTCTTCCACCACTTTAGTTTGCCAACTGTGCCACTTAATCTTGTGATATCTTGTGATGCCAGGTGGTAGGCACAAGGATCCTTATTTTCTGGTCAGATAGGTGCCCAAAGCCAGTGCTCAAAAATCTCGTGTGTTTAGAGTTTACCGTCTTGCAGTGTTAATTACAACGTGAACATTTGCGTTTGGGGATTTAACTAGTAGAGTGGACTGAGCAATGTCCATCCCCCTAGGGTGAGAAGAACAAACTGTAGAGGCTGGTACCAAAGGGCAGAACCAGTGACCCAAGATCAGAGGGAAGTTAGGCACAATTCAGGGGATTATGTTTATGGGGTATAGCAGGTAGAACTGGCTTGGTAAATTCGTCTGTCTCTCTGCAAATCCAGGGCATTGAGGTGGGTAGGTAGTTGGAAGCATGATTCAGTGCCAGGAGAGAGGACTGGCTTGGTTCCTGGGCCCCTGGGCACAGTCTTGGGTTCAGTGTCTGTTCCCCTGAGGGGCCAACATAAAAGTCAAGGTTGGAAGGAGCTGTTTTGGGGAGAACTATATTTTGTTACCTAGAGCTTACACAAGGTATCTCTCTGTTTGGTATCTAACAGAGTTGGGGTGGGAGAAAGAGGCTCACTGAGCCCATCAATCATGTTTCCCAGCTCTGGACATGTGAAGCAGGCAGGACTCGGTGGTGGAGGTCGGGGAGAGGCCAGCTCACAAGGACGTTGGTAGCATTGTTATCAGTCCTGCATCTCTACATACTGACTGCTGTCTGGCTGGAGCTTGCAAAGCTGGGGTGATGTTCAAGAATGATGCACATAAAAACAACCGTGATATGCCATCTCCTGGCTGTCTCTGGGAGAAGCACTGAGGCTGTCCTGATTGTGTGATGTACTCTCTCCATTAGTCCAGCACAACATCCAAAAGACTGTTCAGGCTCTCTGGCAGCAGCTCGTGGCACAGAGACGGCAGGAGCTGGAGGATAACTTCAAGATTGATCTTTCTGTGAAACCTGGAGAGAGTGAAGTGAAGATTGAGGAGGTCACCCCACTCTGGGAAGAGACGATGCTAAAGGCCTGGCAGCATTACCTAGGTCTCTGTCCACTTGGCTTCAGGGAGTGGAACTTCTGAGTCTCATAGAACCAGGCTCCCCCAGGGTTTCACTCAGGGCCCACAGCCTTTTACACCAGACCTTCTGTCTCATCCCTCTGGTGGGTGGGATTTGTATCGCTGAAGCCTCGTGAATCTTTGCTCACAAAGAATGAACGCTGCTTTGCATCTTGGTGAAAGGAAGGCCAGAGGTGCCAGCCAAGCAGCAGATGCTAGTCATCTCTCAGAGGGAAGGGCCACCATGTGAGAGCTCTAGCCTGGGCTCTGGAACTCAGGGTGCTAGGTCCTGCCCTGATATTCACCTACCAGGTTTGAAACCTTGCGCCAAGTCATGCAGTGACCTGGAGCCTCAGGTTCTTCATGTTCCAAGTAAAACTCTTCATCCCAAAGATGTTAACCTCCCTTGCATTCTACCAGTGACTCAGCATTTTTACTCTGTTAGCCAGTGCAGCTGTAGGAATAATGGTTACGTTTCTTTTTAAAGAGGTCATTACTCTCAAGTTATGGCTCATATATTGTTTTAAGTCTTTCAGCATCACGAAGTTCACAGTAATTCAGACCTGTAGCCTGGGCTGTTTTCCTTACTGGAGGCAGACACACTGGGCTTGTGGCCCCCGGCTTGCCCTTTGAAAGCCAAGCTAGCTGTAGAAATAGTGTGTGTTTGTTTCCTTCTTAACTTCACCTCTGACGGTCTTTGCCTCTCTGTCGCCAGCATCTGAAAAGAAGTCACTGGCCAGTCGCTCAAGTGTCGGACACCACAGCAAAGTCCCTTCGTGGAGTGGAAGCTTGTCCTCAGCCATGAGGTTGATGCCCGGGCGGCAGACCAAGAACCCTGAGTGCAAAGCAGAGGTGAGCCCAGACCCCTTTTCCTTAGAGAATATCAGGCATTTGCTTCAAACCCCCATGTATCATGTCCTCTCTCTCTGTTGTCACTGGATGTGATCTAACTCCATGTTCTTCTGAGCATTTAGGGGTAATGCATGTGGCTTCCCAGTTGAGGCTACATCTGTGGGAGTCAGGTCTTAGGTTAGCTTTAACCAGAAGCGAATATGGGCTCCACCTGAGTGCCAAGAGCAGCTGTTCCTTTTGTCATTAAAACCCAAACCAATCCTTGTTCCCATTCTCTTTCTGAGTCAGGTGTACTCAGCTGTAACCCACAGCTCAGCAGGAGCTGGGTGTGCGGGCACAACAAAGGGGGACAGAAGTGTTGGTGCCGTTGTTGGGAGACAAGGTGGTGGATCCTCTTGGCCATGTGGGGTTGAGCTGTTAGGGTTTTCTAGTCCATGTCTGTAAAGCTGCATATCAAACTATCCTAAAACTCGGTAACACTGACAATGATGTTTTTGTGATTGTGGACGCCGTGGTGAGGAATCTGGAGCACAGCAGGGGTTGGGGGTGTCTGTTCCCTGATGTGTGGGGCCTCGGCTGGGATCATTGGAAAGCTCACTCACTCACACGCCTGGGGGTTGCTGCTGGCTCTAGTCTGAGACCTTAGCTGGGGATGTTGATGGAAACATCTACACGTGGCTTTTCCATGTGTCTTGAGCTTCCTTACAACCTGGTGGCTGGGTTTTAAGGGATAAATTTCCATAGGGAGGGAGAAGGAGAGAGAGAAAAATGGAGAGAGAGAGAGAGAGAGAAGGAGATAGAGGTGGAGGCCACATTGCCTTACATGACCCAGCTTTGGAAACCATGCAGCATCACCTCCGCTGCAGTCCTTTCTGGTCTAGAAAGGCACAGAGTTCTGCCCAGGTTCATGGGGAGGGCAGTAGACTCTACATCCTGGAAGGGAAGTGACAAGGTTCTTCAAGAGCCCATAGTACTGGAAATGTTGCTGAGGCTCTCCTTGGAAAATACAGTCTTTCATATATTCTAATGATAGGGTCACCGACTTACCTTCAGAGGCAGAAGGTGGTCATTCAATAGGCATGGCCTTAGGCCCAAGAGACCTTGGTTTGTGATTCACTTAACACCCCTGAGTCTTTATTTCCTGACTTGCACAATGGGACAAATAACTGTGGGAAACTGTGGGAAGGGATTCCCCAGGGAGCGGGGTAGCCGGTTGACAGACACATTACACAATTCGAACTCCACCCATGTAACTTTGGAGATTGAGGTTAACTCCAAATCCCATGTGCTCAGAATCTGGGCCCTGCTGTCACCATAGGTCTGTTGTCCACTGTGGTCAGTGTCTGATGGGGAGAAGGGAGGATACTGGGAGAAGAGAGGAGTGAAGGGCTGCCTGTAAGTGCCCAGACTGCCAGGAGAAGGGGACTTTCTTCTTTCCAAGGTTCAGGAGCAACAGGCTTTAGGACAAATGGAGAAAGAACCTGAAGATAGAATGAAAGACGGGAAATGAAACTGACTAGGCTGGCTGGCGCCCTGGTGTTCAGAGCTGAGAGCAGGCTGTGTCTTCAGTGCACTGACTTGGGGAAGACACTACTCATTAAATTTGTCCACAGAGTTACTGGCTGACTGAGTGAATAACTGAGATCTCGGGCCAGCGACATCACACAGCTATTATTAGTCCCATTTTATAGATGTGAAATAGAATCTGAAAGAAAAAGTCAAGGTCTTTGAAGCCAGGAAGTGGCAGAGTGGAGACAGGGTCTTCATTCATAGTCTCTGCACTTCTGAGCCCACCCTTAGGCAACTCCAAAACCTCTGGATGCCTCAATTCCTGAGTTTACAGCTGGGAATGTACTCTGTTTACACTAGACTATGTGGAAGCACTTGGAAAGTGCAAGTGCTTTACAGAATTCCAATGTAGCTCTCTCTGCCAAGGGCAAGACAAGACCATCTCACACTTGGTACAGTTGCACCCAGCACTGGAAGCAGGAGCATCCCCACTTGTGCCCAAGCACTTGCTCCTGACCAATGCCATTTGTGGCAGGAGGGGTCCAGCCCCTCTTCCCGGGAGCATCTACTCCTTGACCAGGTTAGCATTGTCCCCAGGAGGTCAGGTCAGTCTGGCTGGGCAGCTGTGGAAGGGACAGCTGAGACGCTGGGCATGGCCATGCATTTTATGGGAACCCCTGTGGCTATTGATGCTGTGTCTTGCCAGTGGCACCCCCCACCCCCCGCCAGGTCACTGGCACTGGCACAGTTCAGTGCCTCCGAGTCCTGGGGAGATTTGTTGAGAAACAGCCCATCTGAAAGAAGCTTGAGTAAACAGCAATGTTTGGGGCCATGTAGGTTTACAAATGGCTTATAACAGTTTGCTCTTGGCTCATGTTGAGAGATCTGGAAGAAGGAATACTTGAAGTTGTCTGTCTTTGGTGAAGGCGAGCTGCTGAGGATGTTGTCTTCTACATCAGTTGAGGTCTCATCCATCCACCCATTTATTCATTCATTCAGCAAATTTTAAAGTGCTTATTCTGTACCCTGCTGTGAGTACTGAGGTTACAGAAGAGAGAAAAACTGACATTTTCTGCTTTCATGGAGACTGCATTCTAGGAGGTGAAGATAGACAATAAAAAGATAAATACATTTGTAAATGTTGAGGTGCTAATTGCAGTAAGGAAAAGTGGAGCAGGATAAGTGGGAGAGGGTGATGAGAGAGGTTCTGGGCCACTTAGATGGAGGTGGCAGAAGCCCTCTCTGGCAGGGGCGTGTGAAAGCAGAGAAGGAAGGACAGGAGCCTCGTGACTCTCCAGGAAAAAGTGATCAGGCAGGGAGGACCACCGGGCAAAGGCACAGAGTCAGGAGTGCGCTGGGGGCTATAGGGCAGCAAAGGCCAGTGTGGTTGGACTGCAGCGGGGAGAGGACAGCCTTGGGGGATGTCTCCCTCAGCTGTTAACACCAGGAAGGACTGTGCTTTTCCACAGCAACTCAAACAGCAGAACTGCTGACACCATTATGTTTTCCTCTTTCATTTGGGCACTTGGAAGCCAGAGAGATAAGCGTGGCCCAAGTGGTGTAACTGCACATGCCCAGTGGGATAAATTTCTGCAAAACACGTGTACACACCCACACATATCTCTCCCTGGCCTCTTCCTTCCTCATTGAGCCCCATTTTACCTCCAGCCTGATTTATGTATCTTTTCTACAGCTTATACTGTCTTGTGGAATTTTAAAAGACAAATTATTTTTGAAACAAAGTAGACTATGCTTTAATTAAAAAAAAATTATCTGCCTCTTTACTGAGCAGCATCTCCTACCAGTAACTCAGTCTGGGCTGGGCACAGTGCCTGGTGCATAGAAGGTTCTTAAAGAATGTGTAGGGAGCTGCACGGAGCCCCCTCCCCCCCTTTCTGTGGGATGAAACTCACTAGCCTTCAGAGCCCGCATCCATCACTCATCCACGCGAGGTGCCTTTGTTGCTAACAGAAGGCACAACTTCTCAGGTACATATGTATACTGTGATGTCATAGGATAAGAGCATCAACTATTTGCCCTGGGGTCTGTTTAATTATTTTTAAAAATTAATTTTGATTATTACAGCTGATTACACCTCGGTGAGCAATGTAATTGATATTTTCTAATGTATCCCAAGGAACATTTTGTATAACACGCTTTTTGTTGTTGAAGGTTAAAGACTCTGTTATTGGTTTTTCCCTAAATATGCCCACATCATTAGTCCCTCCAGTGAGAAGGTCGCCATCTGGAAAAAGCAGCATGGAGGCATTATTCAGGCACAAGTGCATGAAATTGGTGTTTCTGCATCTTCTGTCTCTCTTCTGGAAGGAAGGGGCTTGTAATTAAAGGAGTTGGTTTTAGAGGAAACATTATTCATTTGGTGTTATTCCTTATCATGTCAGTGGCTGACAGCTCTGTAGCACTGATAAATTGTTCCTTGGAGTGAGACACACGATGTACGATTCCTCATGCCTTTTACCTATCTTCATTTTCAGTAGAAAATGTTTTCTTCTTGGCAGGTGAGCTGAACTTTGAGGCAAGGCTGATATATAGATGTTATTTCTTCCTTTTCTCCCCCTGACTCCCATCACAGTCCCTTCTGGCATCAAAGCGTGAAGTCATCGTCTCTACCAGGGTAAAGGCTGTGGCTGTCAGCCTGCGGGACAGAGGTTGGGACCTTGGGCTCCCTTGAGGTTACCAAAGGACAACTCAGGGTGTCCAGGAAGCCACTTCATCATGCCCCCTTCAGCTTGGAGGGATCCAGAGCACACACTCTTGCCAGCCGTCCCTCTCCACAGCAGTAGCAGCGGCTTTGCTCATCTGCTCAGCTTCAGACTTTCTTGTTTAAAAACAAGTTGCAAAAACATCAGCAGCCAGTGTTTGTTTCCTAGTTTTAGCAGACACACCTTGGCAATGTGTGATGTTAACGTTATGGGAAACCAGGTGAGGGCTGACAGGATCAGGAGTTCTGTGTACTATCTTTATTATTTTTCTGTGGATCCAAAATTATTCCAGAACATAAAGTGTGTCATCCTCTGTTTTTTTTTAAACATCAGCAAACAGAAAATGGGCACATGGGACACAGGAGCTAGAGGTCCGGTGGGAAGGGGTTGTGAGGCCTGTGGGCAGGGGGATGGGCAAAGCGGCTGCAGGTGGCAGGATGGGCATGGAGGCAGGTCAGGGCGGCACTGGGGCCCATAGGTTGGGGGTTAAGCAGGGGAATGGCACATTTCTGTTTGTACAGGTTAGATTGGAGTTTAGGACTCTTGAGGGAGTGGACAAGCTGGGGGCTGTAGCATCATTCAGGTGGGAGATGATGGAGGCAAGGCAGTGGTTGGAGCAGTGGAAACCAAAGAATACACAAGAGAAATTGTTTAATCAAGGCTGGTGTGAACAAAAAAAAAAAGAGGGCCACCAAAGACAGAGGCCCTAGCTCCGGGGCTCTTAAATCAGGCCACGAGAAGAGAGTGTGCCCAGGTTTAGGAGGTGTG